CATGAACTTCTATTTCCCATTCTACAACAGTCTATAAAGGCGTGCCATTAGTGTGGCTGAGAGCAGGGCTACAGTGGGGTACAGGTAGGCATACAAATGTGGGCCGTCTCAGCCCACCACATGCCTGTGTTCTAACCACACCAGGGCAATAGTCCTCCCATGGGTACGCGAGGTGCCTTTCTCCTGGTCTCCTCTGCCCTCCCCTCCCCGCACTCTGGACCCGTGTCCGCTTCTCTTTTTCCCTTCTTTCCACAACACCTAGCCCCCCTCCCACTCCCTTATTCTTTCATTTATCATTTTCCTGTAAATCACAGCATTTTCTAACAATTTAGCTTCCTGAACTCAAAGGTATTTTTGAAGGTTTTTTTTTTTTTTGGTCTCGTTTTGTTTGGGCATTTTTTTTTTTTAACTTGTCTTTTGCTTGCATATTATGGTTCTGGTTTTGTGTTTTCAGAGGATTTGGGTGAGTGCTTTTTCTTTGTTTTGTTTTATTTATGTATTTACATAGCCCTGGCTGTTCTGGAACTCTCTCTGTAGATCAGGCTAGCCTTGAACTCACAGAGACCCACCTGCCTTTGCCTCCAAGTGCTGGGATTAAAGGTGTGTACCACCACACATGACTTGTTTTGTTTTATTCTTGTTTTTATTTTATTTATTTATTTTCCATTTTACTTGCCTGCTTATTTTCTTAAGAAAGAAAAAGACGGCATAGAATTGGATGGGTGGGGAGGTGGGGGAGGGTCCGGGAGGAGATGAGGGAGGGAAACCATGATTAGAATATAGTGTATGAGCATGTACAAGGCTGTTATGAGTAGTTTTTCCCTGCCGGTCTGGCCCCACCGCCGAGCCAGCCCCAAATAATACACAGACACTCTGTATTTGATATAATTCTGTTGGCCGGTTACTAGTTTCTTATTGGCTAGCTCTGTCCTAAATATTAACCCATTTCTATTAATCTAAGTACTTCCAAGTGCTCTCATCTTACTGGAGAGAGGGGCTGGCATTCTACTCTCCGTCCTCCATCTTGGATCTCCTCCCTACCACTTCCTCCAATCCTCCTTGTCTCCTAGTCCCGCCTATCTTGCTTTCCTATTGGCCAACAGTACTTTATTCATTAACCAATAAGAGAAACATTTACAGAATGACATCTCCCATCACAAGGCAGCTCACATAACTCCAATTCCAGGGGATTCAATACCTTCTTCAGCCTCCACAGGCAATGCTATAAGTGATGTGCTTATACACATGCAGACAAAGCACTCATACACATGAAATAATAAAAAAAAAATAACTTTAGCTGGGTGGTGGTGGCTCAAGCCTTTAATCCCAGCACTTAGAAGAGGAATTTGAGACGCGTGTGTGTATGTGTGTGCGTATCTCCTTTATTAAATACAGATTTTTAAATACAATATAATCTGAATACTGGTTCCCCTCCCTCTGCTCCTCCCAGTTCCTTCCCACCTCCTCCCTCCTCTCCCATCCAGATCTACTCTCTTTTTGCCTCTCATTAGAAAAGAATAGGCTTCTAGGAGAGAGCAACAGAGCATCATAAGATAAAACAAAACCCATCATATTGAAGTTGGACAAGCCAAGAGAAAAATAAAAGAGCCCCAAGAGAAGGCACAAGAACCAGAGACACAATTTTTCATGCATTAGTCCCATAAAAGTACTAAACTGAAAGCTATGGTCCATATTCAGTGGGCCTGGTGCAGGTCCATGCAGGCCCTGGGCGTGTTGCCTCAGTGTCTCTGGGTTCATATGAGCTTTGCTCTGTTGTTCTAGAGGTCCTTGTTCTCCTGGTGTCCTCCATCCCCTCAGTCTTCCCTACTCCTCCTGTCTCCTCTATTGTGGGGTTCCCTGAACTATGAGGGAAGGGATTTGAATGTCAAACACATCACCTTACATAGAAACTAATTAGCACCGTGTACAGTGATGGTGAGGATGAAGGCAAAGGCTTGTTAGTGACTCCCGTGTAGGCAGCGCTATTCCAAACGCTACCCACATACTTACGCATTGAAATGTCCTAAGGCACTCGCATGTCCATCCCATTACAAGTAAGAAAACAGACAGAAGTAAAGTGACTCCCCCACAGGCCACACAAGTGAAGAACGGCAGGGCTGGGATTGCAACCCATACATTACTTGGGTCCAGATTGGCCATTCTTAACCACACAGAAATGACACTGAGCTGGCTGGAGCCCAAAAGTAACTGAGCTCTTCTGAACCAAACACGGTTCACTGAAAGTGTAACTTCATATCTTTTTATTCTTGTTAGGCTCCTTGCCATAGATCATAATCAGTACCTCTTGAGTAATAACACCCATCGAGACGGTAGCAACTGTGAAGAGTGTGAGTTGTTAGTTAGGTCATAGATGTCTAGACTCAACTCCCACCCTGCTCTAACCTGCGTGGCACTACAAGGACCAGTTTTGCAGGGAGTATACCTATGCCACACCATTTCTGTGAGGTGGCTCCTCTGTCTCCAGGCTAGACTATGGGGTCAGTCTACTCCTGGCCAGGGCAGCCATTTCTACCGGGTACTTGACTTGGCTTGAGGGAATGACCATTTCTCGCCACTAGGTGAGGGGATGAACATTGGACTCTACTCGGGCCTGAGTCACTTCTAGCCATTTTCTAACAGAAATAGGGAGGCAAGAGGCTTTTCCTGGGCACCCTCAAAGCTGGGAGGGTTTCAGCGTGGAACAAGCAGTAACCTCAGTACCAGTCTGTTTGAAAGAACAAAGCTAGCATGCAGAAGGCCAGGATCATCCCTGGTTCCGTAGTTTTGTTTGTAATCTAACAAATAAGGCTTGCGTGAAAATCAGAGTGCAGAGCCACGCCACTAGGTAGCCACACACCTGAGCCACTAGTTAGTCATAGAGCACAGGCAGTGGTGACCACACCTTTAATCCCAGCACTCAGGAGATAGAGGCAGATGGATCTCTGTGAGTTCAAGGCCACCCTGGGCTACAAGAGAGTGAATCAGTCAAAAAGAGAAACAGAGCTCTCACCTTTGAGCCTAGCACTTGGGATGACACACCTTTAATCCCAGCAGTAGAGGGATATAAGGCGGGAGCTCAGTGCAATCTCAGGGCAGTCTGAGGTTTGGTGGAGAGCACTGCAGTCTGCAGTCACTCTGAGGACAGGATAGCCCCTCCGTCGAACCTCCTTTTTGGTCTGAGGCTTGGTAGAGGTGAGAACTCTCTAGCAGCTGGGTTTCTGAGACTGTATAAAATGAGTCTTAGCTTCAACTCCTAGAATGGAAAGCAAACCACGCCTTCCTTCCCAGGCAGCAGATCCAGTCCTGCCTCATATTGCTCGGACCCTGGAACCTCGGGGAAGCCTCCATGAGCCCGGCGCTCTTTCATCTTCCATCATTTCATTTTGGTGCCGTGCTCATAACACTGACAACGTGGTTGCCAGCAGGAGGTGTAGAGCGGCCCCGCCCTGAGCCAAAGCTGTAGCGGCCCGGCTGCAGTGTGCCTAGGCGGTTGTTCCCCAGCAGGGTAACCCAGTTTCCTCAGTTCAGGTTCTCTAATCACTGGAGTTTGCATTTTTACAAGCTGCAGCCTCCAATGGGTGGAGCTGTGCCCTCAGGACAGGACACCTTCCCTCTTTTCCCTGGACTGAGTGAGTTTCTCTAACGATGCTCATCTATCTCTCAATTACAGACGCTTTGTCTTTGCGCTCCTCATCTGCAGCTTTGAACTTGCAAACACACCTTTCCTCAGCAGGCTTCACACTTATCCCATCTTGTGGCTCTCTTACTGCAGGTCTGACTGAGTAGGGACAGGCAGCAGTGGCCATCACACCCTGAATGCTATACAGTCTTGACATTTCTCCCACAAACAAATTAGCCATTACTTTTGAGTCCAATTTCACCCAAGTTCTCAGGGCATGGGCAGAATGCTGCCAGATTTGCCAGGGATTCAAATGGTCTGTAACCCAGTCCTCAATAGAGTCCGGTTCTGCTCTGAACCACCACCACCACCCTGGACTCTCCCACCAGAAGGACCGAGTTAGATCTGCTTATCGGGCTGTTCTCATCCAAAGTTTCAAACTCTTCCACACTCCTCCTCCAAATCAGTTACAAAGGCTTAAGGACCACAAGGTCAGAATTATTACAGCAACCGCGCACTTCTGGCCACCAGTTTTCTATGTTGCTTTTCTTCAATGCTTTGACAAAAGCAAGCTAGGGAAGGGAAGGGAGGGTTCCTTTTGGCTCTCAGTTACAGCTCTCAGTCCATCGTGGCAGGAGCAGGGAACCGCTGGTCAGACTGCATCCATACTTAGGACGCTGAGACACACTGATGCTGATGCTCGGCTAGCACCCTCCTCTTTCATCAGGCGCCCACAGAACAGGGATGCCTATAGGTAGAGTGGGTTTCTCGGTCTAGAAACTCTCATAGCTATTCCCAGAGGCGACTCTGCACCTCTCGAGCTGATAATAGTTATCACCACATGGCACAACGCCCACCCCGTTACTAAGAAAGCTGGAGAAAGGAACACATTCTACTGGTGTTTTCTCTCAGCCAGGGCCTTGGTCTCAGCCTTCTCGTTCTTCCACTATCTTTTGGTCCTCACTCTTCTCAAACAACCACCAGGCTCTCGCCTCCTTTGACAAATCTCCTCAAACCATAATCTTTTCCTCCTCTCCCTCCCTCACGCCTCTACTTCAAGACAGACTTCTCTGTGAGGCAGACCCTGAACACCATTTACAACTGCACATTCAGACTTAGAGTATCTATTTATCTATCTATCTATCTATCTATCTATCTATCTATCTATCTATGATAGTTTTAAATTGCCTGACTCTGGAATGTAAGCTCCATGAGAACAAGGGATTCTTGTTTGTTTATAAGTGACCCCAGCACACAGCGCCCACAGAGTGAATATTACAGCGAATGACCAAGCATGAGCTCAATCCCTTTTCTGGGGACTGGGGGATCAGATTTAGTCTGGAGCAGGGCAGACTCCGTCTGAGGAAGCGTCGGCACTTACTTGGCACAGCGTACCCAGTGTGTGTGTCGGTACAGAGAGTAGAGGAAGCGCTGGCGGTACATGTTCCATATTTTAATCGATTTGTCTTCAGAAGCCGTAACCAGAAGTTGGCCATCAGCTGAAAAGTCCACACTTCGAACTGGAGCCGTGTGTGCTTTGAATTCAGAGGACTTCCCTCTCCTGTAAATGAAGTTCGATAATGACACATTAATTTAGTCGCCACACCGAGCTGGAAACTAACAAGTAGCTTAATGCGCATAAAACCTTACAAAAGTGTGGGAAGGTCATGTGGTGCTGTGTTCTCTGTTAGTCCTGTCACGCATCGGCTTGGTTTATGGAAGCCTCAGTTCATACCTAACAGGAAGGAGGCTGGTCCACCCTGTCCCTGAAACGCATGCGTTGCTGCTTCTGTCTTAATGGGAAGTGGGAAAACATTGTGTTGAACCAGTCTCTACACTGCCCTCTGGGTTACTTTAGAAACGGCGGTCTGTAGTTTAAAGAAATTCCGGCCTTGAAGAGCTAAGGTTGATTAAGGATGGCAGCCCCAGGGCAAGATTTTAAAACCACACCACAAGGAGTTCTGTGAGATAACAGTCCGGCTGGCCAGGAGAGGAAGGGATCTTCTGTGCTCTTGATAATCCTTCCCCTGTACCAACCAGTACCAATCACCAAGGTTCCTGTGTGTACCTACTGCCTTGCTGGCCTCATGGCACCAGTCTTGCACTCATGAACAACAGAAGGGCTTTGAAATTTCACAGACATGTCTACTATTAACTAGGGAAGCGAAAAAACACAGCAATGGAGAATACAATGTGAAGTGTTGGAGGCGAGGAAAAACTTTTAAAAATTGATGGGAGAAGCCCGCACACACGTGCGTGTGCACCATCCTCTTCCCAAGCAGCTCTCCTATTAATACGTGCTAAGTTAAAGAAATCTCTTTAAAAACAAACAAACAAACAAACAAACAAAAAACCCTCAACTCATTTAAAAGAAGAAGAAAACCTAGCAGGCTAAGTGGTGCTGAGTGCCAAGGTGAATGCTGGGAAATCCTGTGTCAGTGTTAAGTTCTCCGCAAGGCATGGTCACTCTGCACTACGACCGGGACTTTGCATTCAGTTCTTTGCAATTAGAAAATCATTTCCTGCAGTACATGGGGAGAAAGCCACAACGCTTGAAAGTGACAAGGCACCAGAATCCAGCCAGAGACATCTGTCTGAGCTTCTCAAATCTTTGATGCTCACAGGGCATCTACACACCTGTAGCTCACCCTGTATTTGCTGCCTTGGGATTGGAGCGAGCCACATGTCTCTAGCACAGAATTGCAGAGAAGCCATATGCACCATCCCCATGTACTGCATCCATCAACGCTGTGGTTACCGCTTCCCCCATACCCTCTGAATAGCTCTCCTCTCTCCACCCCAGTTCTGCTTGCCTTCGGGGACTTCTATCCTTAGCATCCTTCACCTAGATTAGTGCACAAGCCTCTTAATCGGCCTCACTGCTCTAATCCTGTACTCCACCCCACCCCCAGCCACCTACATGCTGTGCTTATCGCTTGTTGAAAAGGTAATACAAGCACACAAATCCCAGTGTAAATGTTTTCCTGGCTCCCTCAACATAAAGTACAACGCCCTAAGCTCCAGAGCAGGATATCCTGCCACGGAGATGAACTTTGTACCCAGAGTGGTCAGGGAGCTACAAACACATCTGTGCCTCTGCATACGAACTCCTAGGAAGACCGTTGCCCATCTGTGGACCCCTGACCCAACCGCCCTGGCCCTGATCCTCTACAAGGGGGGCTTGAATTACTGCAGCACATCCTAACTTTGAAAACTAAACTCATTTCTCTCCTACTAACGTAAGTGTTCTGAGGACAGGGATGACCTTACATATTTCTGTGAGACCACCATTTCACACATGTCAGGTACAGAGCTCACTAACTACCTACTGAGGACAAGGATGACCTTACACATGTGTGAGACCCCCATATTTCACACATGTCAGGCACACAGAGAGAGTTCAATCTAACGAATTTCACTGGGAAGAATCAATACTTTAAAGCTTCGTAGATTCAGGCTGGAGGCAAATGTGGCTTTGTCCTTATTTCTATCACCAGGCAGAGGATAATACATATAGAATAATTTATATTCATCGTAAATATCTGGGAGAGAATATTCAAGGACTAACCCAGTCAGTTTCCAAGGGGATTCTTGTGAAAAGAAATCGGGAGACAACAAAGACTCGATATCCGCAGCGACCAGGAAGCCACAGCCAGTCAGTCAGTCAGTATCATTAAACTAGTCCCTGAACTTCAGTCCACACCCCACCCAGCAGTCTGTGTTACTACACAGGTATTCTGGGGCCTCGCCTGAGCGAGGCTGGCCCACCCTGGGCCCTGCTGCACAGGAATCCCAGCAGATACCAAGGCAGCAGCAGAGCGTGCTGTTTGCTGGGCTGCTGCTTCACTGCTCTCTTCTTTCCAATCCGGTCTGTGACTCACTCTGTCCAGCACAAGGGACACTGTGCACTTGAGGCCCAGGGGCTTTTGCTTCTGTGATGCTGGAGCTCACCTGTCACTCTGCAGGGAAGTCTAGGCTACTCTGCTGGATAAGAAGGCTCCAGGAAGACCAAGGCCAGGGCCTTGTGACTGAGGCACACACTTCCGGCTCAGCCACCAGCTCATGAGGCTGTGTGGTAACCTCAGCCAACACCAAACGGGGAGAAAAACATCCCAACCACCCACAACGTGAAGAGAAGTGGTAGTTTTTAAATTAAGCTACTCAGTAAGGGGGCTTTTAAGCAGTGATGAAAAACTAACCACTGATAGATAAATTCCCCACTGGCACGATTCATCATTGCCCTGGCCCCACTGTGACATTATTTAGAAAGAGAAACCAATGTACAAAAATACAATCACTAGGTAAATATCGATACCAAGTTAATGATTCAGTGCGATTTTAGCGCACCCACCCCCGGAACACTTTGTTTCTCCAATCAGTATTAGAAAACAGGCTGCAACTCTTTAAACAGTGAATTAGTCCTTTCCACAGCGAAGGCTTTTCAAGAGCACGCTTCCTCCTGCGCCTCAAACTCACCTCTTCCATCTGTGAGTCTCCCTCCAGTCCACGCACTTTCATGTCAATCCCCTTTAAGAGTTTTTACTTCTGTCTCCACAATGCTTGGATTTTTCCAAACAGAATTTCCCTTGGGTGGTGGCAGCATAAAGTACCTAGAGGCAGGCCATCACTCACAAGCTTTTATCCTCTCTGAGTGCCTGAGCCCATTTAGTTACAGGCTGCAAATCAATCCTGCATCATAGAGTCCAGGGAAATGCTGATGTTTCTATCCTCTGCTACAGGACAGAGGAAAATTACAGCACATATAGGAGCCACTCAAAAGTAGAGAAAGGAGAGGTAGATACACAATACAAGCATGGCTGGCTGTGGATGGGCATGGAAGTGAAATTGCGCTATTCATTCTTTATGGATATCTGAAATTTTATATACTTAAAATTTAAAACTCAAGCTAGGCGGTGGTGGCGCATGCCTTTTAGTCCCAGCACTTGGGAGGCAGAGGCAGGATGATCTCTGTGAGTTCGAGCCCAGCCTGGTCTGCAAGAGCTAGTTCTAGGACAGGCTCCAAAGCCGCAGAGAAACCCTGTCCCAAAAAAAATTAAAACTCATAAAGATAACCTGCTCTAAAGCTTTTAACAATAGCTCAACAGAGTCCCACAGAAGATCTGTTATCAGAGAATGTGACTTCAGCAAATGCAAAGATATATACAGGGTTTCTCTGTGTATCCTTGGCTGTCCTGGTATTCTCTCTGTGCACCAGGCTGGCCTCGAACTCAGAGATCTGCTTGACTCTGCCACCCAAATGCTGGGAATAGAGCTGTGTGCCACTACCACCAGGAAATGATTTATATTTTTGTCCAAAATTTTTTAAGATGAGAAAATCCTACAGCTCCAAAATGAATGATAACAAAGGACAGGACAGTTAAGCAGAGGGGGTCAACAGGTTTCCAAGCACCCCTAAAAGCCACGGATGGGCACAAGGAGGCTAATAAATTACACACTTTTGAACTATGCCACCGTGTTTCTTTTGGATTTACACAGAGATTGCTAGCCATCTCCCAAAGATTCAGACATACTGTACATATCTCCAGGTTAGAAATGGTTTCTCAAAAGAAGTACATAATTTTGAGTTGAATGACATAGTTTGAGTTTAAAATCGGGGTAGTATTTCTGTGACCTGAATGAGTAGAGGTCACTAAGGAGTTGCGGTATCCCCAAGAAGTCCATTAGGAGCAGCCAGGCCTCAGTAGCCTCTAACAGTCCCAACCCAAACCTTGTCGAGTGTTCGCGCCTCTCACCTATCAGGGACCCAGAGCCTAACAGTTCTGTCTCGTGAAGCAGAGGCTAGTAAGTTTCCTTGTGGAGAAAACTGCACGCTGGTCACGACGTCCTTGTGGCCCACATATCTGTAAGCTCTAGTGTTTGGCTTCAAACTCCATAGCATGAGAAAGGTGTCCCAAGAAGCAGTGGCTGTCAAGGCAGAGAAGAACAAACAAGCCAGGATTATGACAGGAATGCACACGTGTCTCAGCAATAACAACCTGTAACAGAGACGTCGGAGGTTGTAGGGCTAACCAGGTAATGGCGAAAAGTAGTTTATTGTTTAAAACTATTTTTACTTGATTATGAATAGTCAACCTTGGTAGTGCCCTGCTTCCCAGCAAGGGTACTAGCCCCAGGATCCGAGGAGAGTGTAGGAAATGCTTGCTACAAGAAGGAAGCAGCTGTAGAAAAATGCATCAGGCTGAGTCACCCCATCTGCCCGGGTGACTGGAAGTCACTTAACCTCAGTTAGGGGGTAATTAATCTTTTCACAAGGACAGATGAACTACTTCAAAACACTATGTGGAAGTGAGTTCACCCAGAAGTCATAAAACCATAAATAGCACTAATACGCCCCTTGCCTAATCCTACCTGTCGTTAATATTTTGTCTGTGTGTCCTTTGTGTTTCTCTTTGTGCATGAACACATGTGCATGCAGAGACAATGTTTTCCTGAACCATATGAAATGCGTTCTCATAGTCATTGCTAAACATTTCCATGTGCTTTCCCTAGGAATACCATTATTCTTGCACATACCCATAGTACAGGTAAGCCTGAGAAATTAACCACCCACCAAAGGCATCTTACTTGTCAACTGATCCAGAAATACTTAAAAAAAAAGATGTATTTATTTATGTATTAGGTATAAAGTGTTCTGCCTGCATATTTGCCTGCATGCCAGAGAAGAACACTGAATCTCAATATAGATGGTTGTGAGCCCATCATGTGGGTGCTGGGAATTGAACTCAGAGTCTCAGGAAGAACAGCCAGTGCTCTTACCCTCTGAGCCATCTCTCCAGCAGCAATGCTTTTAAAGAACGGGTGAGATGACCTTCCAAATCTGTTTCTCATCTGTAATTTTAGGACATTTGATGATTAATAAAACGACCTGCATGTCAGACATTAGCTTAAAAAATCTTTAAGTGAAGGAAACATGAATATGCTCAATGGTGGAAATAAATTTTCTGACAAAGAATGGACAGTAACCCTTAGGAGAGGTGGATTTAACTTATGCCTACAGAGCAAGTTCTACCATACACACATCCCAGAACAGCCCCAACAACAGGAATCAGGTCACTGGGAATCACATCATACAGGATGCTTAAGGGAAAGCGGCAGCTTTGTAACCGGTAAGTACAGTGAACATCAATGACAGGCAGAAATGCGGCCCAGCTATAGGAACTATGGAAGTTTCCTAAGTTCTCTAGCCTATATGTTATCTCCATGCTTCCGGCCCAGTCCAGTGAGTTTCTAGGCTTCAAGCCATAATTTTATTCAGTGTCTTTCCATTAAAAAAAAAAAAAAAAGGATGGGGGAAAAGAATGCAAAAAGGCTGATGTTGTGCTACAGATGGTCCAAACTGTAAACATCTGTATTGGGGTCTGTTTACCGGGGATTAGCGCTGACAAACAAGGAAAACAACTGGTAACGTGCACTGTACTTAGGATCCGATTTTCGTTCTGTGTATATGCTGCAAACAGGATATGCAATGGCAAGACGTAACCTCTTCCCCTCTAAGAAAGATCACACAGGGAGACAACTCACGTAGTGAGACATCCTTAGCACCATCATACATGTAGGGAGCATCTTAACATACCATTTACTCATGTTAGACACCATGATGAGAGAGTCTGTTCTGGGGAAGGTGGATGAGTCATCTAGCTAAGCTAAGAGGGCAAAAAGGGCACTCCGAGCAGAAGGAATGCCACTTCGTCTCAGCCAAAAGGCCTAGAAGCAACTGTTGTTGCCATTCTTATTTTATCTTTAGGCAGGGCTTCACTTTGTAGGTCAGGCTGGCCTCAAACGCGCAATCTTCCTGCCTCGGCTTCCACACAATTGGGAATACGGGCATGAGCACTGTACCTGGCAGGAGGGAACCAAGTGCAGAGCCAGAGACTGGTGCTGGGCAGGCAAAATGGTGAGTGGTGTCACAGGGCACAGACTTAGGTCAAGGAGGCGCAGGGGTCGGTACAGTTTATTCCAGTGCAGTAGGAAGCCACTGGGTTCCGAAAAGAGGGGCCCGTGCTCCGGGTGGGAAAATCCTCACTGACCCTAGAGAAGAGGTCTCTTCTTTGCTTGTTTGTTTTCAAATGAGTAAATTCTGTATGTATTATGGGTCAAAATGTCATTAAAATGGTAAGACAATAAACTCCTAGACAACCTAGAATAGCTTTATGCCCTTGAGGTAAGCCAGGTTTACTTAAACAAGATATATAAACTGCTAATCGTAAAGAAAGAGAAAGACATTTTGTGCTATGTTAAAATGAAAATACTTTCCTCCCTTGGGGGGGGGGGGTCACTGTAAGCAGGGTGTGGCTGCATATGCCTTTAACCCCAGTGCCTGGAGGAAGGGGCATGAAGGTCTCTGTGAACTCAAGGCCAGCCTGGCCTTCACAGTGTGTCAGGCCAGTCAGGGTTGCATAGTGACACCCATGTCTCAAAAAATGCAAAGAACAAAAAAAACAAAAAAACAAAAAAAACATAAAAAAAAAACAAAAACACCACAGTATGAGTTAGAGGCCATCCTGGGCTACAGAAAATTCCAGGTCAGACTGAGCCACATTGGGGATATCCTAGCTCAACTCAACTCTCTCCTCCTCTTCTACCCACCCCCCGACACACACTGCTAATCAAGGGAGATGATGTTTGTATCTATGTATGAATGAATGAATAACCCAATAGCTAACAAAAGTGTGCTTAGAATCTACAAATATCATACAAAGCAGTAGAAAATGCATACGGCCTAGCAAGGACAGGCAAAGGGTTCCCAGATGACTCTTTTATACACCACATGCCAGTAGTCATCAGGAACCTAGTTGTGTCATCACACCTTCATCCAAATGTTAGAAACTCATTGCCCATCAACCCCAAGTAGGTAGAGTCATTATGTAGCCCTCTTCCTGTACGACAGAAGCAAATTAGTTCTGAGCTTATGAAAACATTACATCAGGGACAGGGAGCTTTCAGAACAGCACACAGTCAACACGCCTTACTGGTGGCGACTCAGCCACCAGCTCTGGGGTTGGTTTAAAAAGCATATCACACAGGAAGCAGGGAGAAGAAGCGTAAGAAAGAAGTCAGCTCCAGGGTTACAATAGGGCACTTTGGAGGGGATGATGCTGGGTCTGAGGCTGTGGCAGCTGGAGGGGTAGGGATGTGGGGTTCGTTAATGAAGATAAAGCACAAGGGTCCTGGCTGCCAGGCACCCAGGGAAATCTGAAGATCATTTAATGAGATGGGAAAGACCGGGATAGAAGGGGCTCACAGCAGTGGTTCTCAACCTTCCCCACACTGCGATTCTTCAATACAGTTCCTCATGTTGTGGTGACCTCCAACCACAACATTATTTTTATTGCTCCTTCATGACTGTAACTTTGCCACCATTGTAAATCGTAACGTGAATATTTTTTGGACATAGAGGTTTGCCAAAGCGGTGTGGAAACCACAGGTTGAGAGCCACTGGCCTAGGGGCAGCATCAAGTGAAAACTAAGAGTTTGCTCAGAGATGCTAATGGGACACTAGTGTGAGCATCAGGTAGGGAGCGCGGACCTGCGTGGGACCTAAGATGTTTAACTCCAGTGTGATGGCTAAAGGATTAAGTGTAGAATCAGAATTAAGAGAGGCCTGCCAATTATGACACACCAGAAGTAGAGATGCCCCGGTTACAGGTGGAGCTTGGTAATACTTTATGCCTTCTCTTACATCTCAGAAAAACCATCAATGTATTGTTTTTATTATTTTTAAATGGGGCTGGAGAGATGGTTCAGCCATCAAGAGCACTGGCTGCTCTTTCAGAGGATCTGGGTTCAATTCCCAGCACGTACATGGCGGCTCACAACTGTCTGTCAACTCTAACTTTAGAGGATTTGATGCCTTCACACATGCTTGCATGCAGGCAAAACACCAATGCAAATAAAATGAAAATAAATAATAAACCATTTTTTAAAAAAGTGAAAAGTGAGCAAACAGGGCATGGTAGCAAATGCCTTTTCTCCCAGCACTAGAGAGATAGAGGTAGGTATGTCTCTGTGAGTTCGAGGTCAGCCAGCTCTTCATAACAAGTACCAGCCAGGGCTATTACACTGAAAGATCTTGTCTTGAAAAAACAAAAAACAACAACAAAGTACAAACATTCATACTAATATGTAAACCAGCATTGAATCTTTTGCCTTTGTCCTGTTTTTTCTTTTCTTTCTTTCTTCCTCTTCTTTCCTTCCTTCCGTTCTTTATTTTCTTTCTTCCTTTCTCTTTTTGAGGCAGGGTCTTAGGTAGCCCAAACTGGACACAAACTTGTCATGAGCCAATGATGACCTTGAATTTCAGATTCTCCTCCATCCCAACTGCTCTAAAGTATTGAGATTACGGATGTGTGCAACCTCACCCAGCCCTTAATCTTCTTTCTTTGTTAAGAACTGTTCTAGTAAACTATAGTATTGTTATTTAAAAAATGGTATTGGAGTATGGATGTCACTGTTGGGAACTTTAGAATTAGCTTTCATACATTTCTATGGAACCACACCCTGTGTAAACATTACCACATTATTTAAAATGTCAAAGCTTACAGTATTCATCACTCTATTGCTCTGTTTTAAGATAAAATGCCAAAGGGAGGAAGCTAAGAAAAACGTTAGCTAGTAAATCTATCCACCTAAGAAAAACTTACTTAGATATATTATCTGCATACGTAATATCTGCAATACATATACATACATACACACACACACACACACACACACACACACACACACACACCATATAAAATACATTATCAAAAAGGCAATCCATTGTTAGAAGGAATCCTTGTTAGGACACAGAACAATGTCTGTTGTCCTGCTTAGGCGTCTCTATTCCTGTGACGTAAACACTAACCAAACCCTGCTTAGAGAAGAAAAGGATTTATTTCTTTTCACAACTCCCCAAGTCACAA